TGGCATGCGTACGTGTATTTCTCAAGAAGGTGGAGGAGGAGGAGCATTTATTTATTTGTCCCTTTTCCATTTTCACTTTACTTTAAACATTAATTTCAAAAAAAAAAAAGAGAATGCTTGAATCACCATTTTATTTACTCTTTCACTACCTATACCTCCTCCACTCCTTGCTACATGGTCGCCATTCCAAAATATAATGGGAGAATTTATATTTACGCAGCTACAGGCGACATAGATTTTATTTTATTTTTGTGCGTACGTCAATTTCACAACTTCACTATGCCAACAGACGCGTTTTCCACCGCTTTTTGTGAAACAACGCGTAGACAGCTCTTCCACACAGCAACGTGTACAGTAAAATAAACGCCAATACCACAAAGAACGCTCGCGTGTTCTCCATTGACTCACCCTGATCGCCTTGAAAGGGTACAGGAACATTCATGGTATACAGTAATTGAGCAGCGAGGACGGGGTATAGGATGTTCGTTATCTCCAGCAGAAGAAGCATCTGGCGGGTAGCCCTGTTTCCACCGCGGAGAATCTTCCAAGTACGCGCTGTGTTATGGTACCAGTTGGTCACAGAGAGGGTATCTCGGGCGTCAGCAATTTCGTCGCCCAAACGAAGTAGATGTGCCCGCGAACTCTCAAGTAAGTGACATACCGTTTTTTCTTGCGTCAAAAAAGAATTCGCCATGTGTGGTTGCAAAAGAATAGATACAATATGCTCTCGTCGCGTCAGTTCCGCAGCACATTCCGCAAAGACACGTCGAGCATCTGTAATGCGCTGCAGCACTTCCTCTTTCACCTTGGGATCATTTTCAACCTTGAACACATAATCTCCCATGCGATCCAGCGACGTTATTAATGAGGCGGTGTCCAACTGGTGCCCCACAGTTATTTGAAAAAGGCTGGCAAAAATAAATGGAGAGGTCATAACCTGCCTTCGACGCCGCGTGGTCGTGCCGGAGCCGTGATCACCGCAATTGATGTACAAAAACTTCAGCAAATCACCAAGCTCATGAAAGGGTTTCTCGTGTACCGTTATAATCCACTCAGGGAAAACGATAACTGCCACTGGAACCGCCGCGGCTATGGAAGAGTGTGATTCGTCCCTCATGACCGATTCGAGGGAAAGCTGCATGACGCTCTTCTTCTGCCGGAGACGGTACCCCTCGTCCTCTGTTGTAACAGGAGTGCACAGAAGGTTAAAGAAGAAGTAACCGAGTGTGGAGTGTGCGAGGTGGCAATCCATGCCATCGAGGTAGCAGCAGCGATCAATTGTGTCTTCCGACAAGGGAAATCGTGAGAGGAGCTCCATGAGGAGGGTCTCGTTCGTCGTCTGTATGTCCAGCCATTTCGCCGCCTTGGGGGGTCCTGCTGCCGCCTTTTCCACCGAGCCGCGGGGAGCGGTGGAGAAAAGCGAATGACTCTTTGCGTACTGCAGAAACTGGTCACTTGTTGTAAAATTGAGGGCAAACGGCATGGATCCTTCAGAGCGCTGCGAGAGGAACCACACATGCTGTGCTGCGTCTTCAAGGTTGACAAAACTGTCATTCCTGTCGTCAGTTTGGCCCGTCGCTCCATTTTCTACGTCGACAGTCCGCTGAAACTGCAAGTACAATGATTGCCTCGACGTGGTCTCTTTTCCTTGTGCATAACTCTTGTTATGCAGGAACTGCGTGGTATCCCTGTTGGGCCTTGAACCATTCTCACCGGTGAAGTTAAGAACGTCACCGCTGTCAATGTCAATGCTTCCAAAGAGTTCGTAGGAGAACGCAACCTCCGCGTTACGAGGACCCCGTCGCTGACGACTCTTCATGGTTTGGGTGGCGTCTCCGTGTCTTCTCTACGTAACGAAAGATATAAGTGCAGCGTGTTTGGCGATGCAGTAAGTGCCAGCCGTTTTTTTTTCCGGCTGTCAAAATAATTTCACCTGCCAGCTTTGGTCGTTTTTTTTTTCTTTCTTGAAGCAAACTATAAAAGGAGGAGAGAAAGCAGTGGTGCCCTGTGCCTCGGCAAACGTGACGCGGAAACCCCGCGGTGCCCGGAAGCGATAGACAAAAAAGACAGGCAGAAGATAATCCGCAACAACTTTACGCCATCCATACACCCACCGCGGTCAAATGGCGCACGGCACATGGCATCGCAGTCCACGACCATCCCTTCGGGGAATTCTGACAAAGATGCCAACCACGCGCCAAGAACAAATACGGAAAAGCATAGCCCCGAAAGCCCCATGCAAAGAAATTAAACTCTCACATACTGACCGGTCCGGAAAACCACAACAATTTTGCCCTGCTTCTCTCCAAGAAACAATATTCCTTACGTCCAGGCAAATATATACCCACAGATGCAAAAAGGGAAGATAGATAGAGAGAGAGTGAGAGAGATACCGACCACCATGACTGCAAGCATCATAAAGATACGTGGCCGTAATACCAGCCAACGAGTTTTACTTTCCTTTTCTGTTCATTCTGCATGATCTGTTGCTTAGCACTTGCTCTTTGTACAGGAACTTCCTCGTGCAAACAATGGGCTCTTCACAATAATCAACGCACCAATAAGAATCAGCACCAACACACGCAAAACAAAGCCAATAATCATCATAATAAGGCCGTTACCATATATATATATATATAATATATATATATTGATATTCAACTTCTTTCTTTCTACATTTTCCTTCAACTACGCGTGATAATAGCACTGGCGTAGCTGACAGAGGAGTCTGAAGGACCCGTACAGCGGTTTGACTGTGAGTAATGTAAGAAGCGCACAGATGCCGCCTTCTCGTTTTTTACGGCTTCCATGCCCACGGAAATGGGCCGCTGGCCGCAAATAGTGTTACGTGTTTTTTGAAGATAGTCATACCATCCGTTCATGTCTCGCTTCTCCAACCATTCCATTCCCTCATGATCCATGGCGATAATAGCATCGGCAATTGCGGGGTAATCCGCCTTTTGATAGTGAAACCTGTACTGGAACCGTGAGCCCCAGTGGCAGAAGTCAGAGCTTAACACGAATATATTGCGTGAATCCCGAGCGTAGGATGACAAGACGGCGCCTATACGTTCCTCCATCTCACGGTCCGTCCAACCAACCACCATTGGAACAAGTCGAATTCGATCTATTGCTGGTGTTGCACCGGCTGGAGGGTAGTGCAGGGTGTATGAGATAAATGGCAGCTGCATTTCAAGAGAGTGCTCCTCCTCGTCGCTGGACTGTGACATGCATGCTGCTTTTATATCGGTAGCCTTTAGAGCTTCATAAACATCCGAAACAAGTGAAGTGTCAACGGGAATTGCGCCAAAGGGACTTTTGTACTCCCGTGCACCAGACAGTTCCACGCCCTCAAACCCTTTATGATGGTCTGGTCCCAATAAAAAAATATGAGAGACGTTGTTTCCTTTGGGCCCATAGATATAATCGCGCAAGGCCTTATACACGTGCGCTGCAGTTGTGCCGGAGTAGCTGATTCCAGCGTGCGGTGAAATGATGCCGACAAGTGTCTCATCACCACCCCACTCATAGTCCTTAGCCTTCCCAAACAAATCGTTCACTGTCTCCTTAAGCGTCCTTGCCGAGCTTTCGTACCAACTGCCGGCGTGGGAGGCCCGACGAGAGTACGTCATGTTTTCTCAATATTTGTTGTTGCTTTTGTCGTCCCTCTTCTTCTTATAAGCTCACACTTCTACCGAATATGCAATAATTTACACTGCACACCCTATACAAAGAGTAAATTGTTAAAAAACGATTTTTTTTTTTTTTAGGAGTTGTATTACAGAAAGGGTGCAAAGATGCCGTTTATTTTGGCCCACAGCCCCTACAGCAGCGAGGCAGGAGCTCATGCCTCTCTCATGTCCACCATTCCTCATTTCCATAAAAAAAACCACACAAACTATATATATATATATATATATATACTCAATGGCAGGGTACACACACATATTATCATCCTAGTTGGAGACACTGTGGGAGCGGGAAATGAAAAGCAAGAAATAACGTGACTGAAGGTCGTAGCTGGAACAGCTGAAGCATGCCCCATCCCGCCAACGCCACGTGGGACTGAATGCCAAGAACATTTGTTTTTTTTTGTTTTTTGTTTTTTTTGGGTCTGTGGCATAGCCCCTTGCTCAAAGAGGGGTGGCAGTTCATTCGACTTCATTTTTATGTAATAAAGAGCACCAATTCCATCCTTCATTACTGCCTTCTACCTTGTTAGTGTTTATTCACACTTAAGCAGCATTTTATTACTGTGCAATAATAATAGTAACAAAACGTAATATCAAGACACAAGGTGGAACAAAAAAACAGAACAAATTGTTTTACGCGGCTTCAGTAGGCGAGCAAAAACGGAAAAAAAAAAAAACTGGCGAACTGATAAAACCTGTTTTCACGTGTTTGCCCCACGCTGATCAAGCTGAAGAGAATACAAAATGGAAAAGAGGAACGTTACTTCAGTCCTTCAAACCACACAGTAGCCCATGCACGACTATCAAAAGCATTATTTAACTCAAATAGCCACACACACCAGTCCCAGGGAAAATGTCATTACTTTTTGCAACTTAACGGCGGTAGGCAAGTTGCATATATGCCATCTTGACTCTTTCTTCCCCTCTCTATTGCATCCATGTCGATGTACGCAGTACCAGCCCAGGCCAAAAACAAAACGGTACGAACACATCACGACAAGAGACCATAAGGCGGGTTTTCAAAACAACAGAAATAAAAACACTGAACGTCGAGAATAGCAAACAGAAACAAAAAAAAAGAATGGTACTGTGCATTAGTTTCGTACACCCTTATACTTGTAGAGACAAGCACAGCTCCCCTTTTTCTTTCTCAGAGGAATTCAAAACTGAAGAAACACAAACAAACCAACACCAAAACAAGAGCATAAAGGTTCGGAAAAAAACAACAATACACACGGAGAATTACCTCATTTCCGGCTGCTGCAGGAAATAGAATGACTAAGGTGGTGGGCACACACATGTTGCAACATCAAATATGGCAACTATCGGTCGATGATCGCTTGTTCGCACCTGCGGTACATCGGTGTAGAGACGTATCTTCACCGTCCCCGCCCTAGAGTCCCGCCCCCTCTTGTAGAGAACACGATCACAGTACGCTGGCATGCGATCCTTCTTTTTTGTGTAATTGTACACGTCCTGTTCAATTTCGTACTTGTACGTTGGACGAAATAAAAGATTCCCCTCACAAAAGCGACGGAAAACAATACCCTTTGCCCGCTCGAGGTTCAGCTGGTCGTTGTGGGCGAGAACAGAGCGTATGTCCCTGTCGCTCTTGATCATATACTCAATTGCCCTACGTGTGCCATTGATGCGGTAGTTGAGGTCACCTCCAAAAAAGACAAGATCAAACTCCTCCGTGACGTCGTGATAAAGCAAGGATGTAGTCTGCGCTTCGCTACGCGGAACAAAAAGAGGTGTACAATCGTCGTCGCAACCAAAAACAGCACTCTCACTACCTACAGCATTCTCACATTGTGGCACAGAGGCTATATCGTCGGAACCACCACCGACGTTGTGGAGGGCGTCGGCATTGCCACCAAAATGCCCTTTGGGCAATACATGTTCCCTACAGAAGGCTTTGCGGCCCTTTTGAAACGCAGCGTACATCGCTCGCACGATGGAAAGATAATCCTTATTCCGCATGCGCACACCTTTTTGATGGGCTGCCAAATGTGCTCCAATAAAGAGCAAGGTAATACTCGGCGCCACTGTATTGTGGAGAGGAATTTTGTCACGAAGCCGCGTGTCGCCTGAATACACTTCTGTAGAGGAGAGCAACGACCTCATACAGCCTCCAAACAGAGAATCATTGTCCCTTCTCCTTTCGGCACATCTCTGCAAAGGCAAAGGTATCATGGAAATGGACAACGCCACCGCAACGCCTCCCTTGTTGCCACATAGACCGTTTGCAATTCCAGTTCTGACACTTGTGGCATCTGAGCATCGAATGTATGACGCCACATCTTCCCTACGGGCATACACAAGCAATTGTATGTACCACAGCTCCTTACGACCAACAAGTACATACTTCCCATCCAGACAAGTGTGATCAACATGTTTTTTCCATTTTCTCCGATCGCTGTTTACTAGCAGGCGAGTCCCGTTCTCTTGCGTGCACACAACAACAATGTGGGCATTGGGGTGAATGCAGTACCTAGCGACATCCTCAAAATTGGGACACCTATGACCCATGTTCCAACTAACATACGAAATGCGCAGCGGCTTTCCAGGAACCCACATATTTTCTGAAAGACTCACTGGAACTGGACACGTTTCCTCATTGACCACAATAGATACCGTCTGGTGTTCGTGAGAATACTGTTCGATACTACTGCGCAGATTAACTTGTTCATTTCTGACAGAAGCAAAAGAGTTCAAAGACACCGGCGAACGAGTATCAAACTGTGCAGAAGAACTTGGCCTTGAACAGTAGCTCCAGAAAGATCCATCTGTTTCCTTGACAGACGCTGACTTTGTCTCATTCGCCTCTTCATGGGTTTGCGGACTCCTGCAGGTTTCAACCAAATCTGTATTCATCGGCTCTACACAACTGACGCCGCAGTCTCCAACGACTATACAACCAACACTACTCAACCCGTCCATGTTAGCCCGTGAAGAGCAAGCCGAAAGAAAGAAAGAAAGAGAGGATAAGAGTGAGAAAACGGAAGTAAAGGGGTTAAAAAGGCGTAAAATATATGTGAAAAAAAAACAGTATAAAAGCATTGCAGGTAGTTTTGTGTTTACACACGTGCATGCATCGCTTACTACTCCCATAGTGGCGAAGCAGTGCGGCTTCCCGGAACAACCACACGCGTCATTAACAGGAACAGGTGCATGGCAGTAAGTAAAACAGCTCCCATCCAACACTTCGAAACTTGACGACTCGCTAAACACAACAACAGCAGCAGCATACGGCCACCTTCTTGTTTACCCCAGGTCTTGTGTATTCATCAAAGTACTCATATAGGCGATATTTCTTTGGAATATGCATATCACCGCGCTCCATCGTGGAGTTGTCCTCGCACATGCCTTGCTCGAATGCGGGTCTATTGTGCGTCCGGCGGAACTCAGAAGAGGAGTTGATGTTCTTATCTACACGATGATAGTCCCACTTCTCCTTGGGACGCTGAGTGAAGTACCGTGTGCCCTCAAGGTCCTCTCCTTCGTCACTCTCACTCCGCTGCTGTACGGAATCATTCACCCATGAAAGTCGGCAAACTGAAATCCGTGATGGCGCCGAAATTGCATCCGCAGATGGCGGCCGCATGGAGTTGCTGCCACGGGCACACAGCACCGCGGCCGCATTTCTCTAATGCTACTATGCAGAAAATACACCTTTGACCAAATAATAAGAATACAACTAAAGTGCACACCACACGCGGGCACAACTGGACCACATGGAAATACAAGGCCCCCCGCAGAGTCTTCGAAGATATTCCTACGACCTGCTTACTCATCCCACCCCTCTGCCTGCTCTGTTTACCACACCCCCGCATTTGCACATATTTGTACTTTTCCCATGCCCATATACCCACAAAAAAAAAAAACTTTTTTAAAAAAACATCCGCGAAGAGCATTGGAAGCTTCAAGCATTGGCTCGTTGCCGCTTACGCCCGGCGGCAACGCTCATTCGCGTCGTGGCGTCCCCCTTGACAAGGCGTTCCAGGTCCTCATGAATTTGTATGCTGAGCAGCGGTACCACTTCCCGCTGGGCGAGGAGCAAACCTGCAAGTGCTGCTGCAGGCAATGGATGCACAATCCACTCCTGCTGCGCTGTCGCAGCGACAACACCCTTCAACTCCAGTCGGTGCATCATTTGATGCGCCATTTCCAGTGTGATTTCTAATGGACATGAAACGCGAAGATATTCGGCAATTTCTCCGGTAGATACGCGTCCCCGATAAACAACCGGTGACCTTGTCAGTATAAAACATGTAAACACAAAAAAAGCAAGGTCATTTGAGAACGTGGATGAGATTGCTGCTGGCTCCGCGGGGCATCTCTGTGACGACTCCTTCACTGGACATGTTTGTGTACACGCTGCGTTCGTGTCTGGGATATGTTTTAATGCAGCAGCCGCCTCGTCCTCGTCCTCCTCCCCCTCCGTGCCTATGCCTGAGAATGTCGTATTCCAGGTTGATGCCGTCAAGGTGGAGTTTCCGGCTATCATAGAAGACTGTGACAACAATCTATCAAAAAAACGGTGTCGAATGGTAATAGACATCATATGATGACCTGTATCAAGCGACGCAATGTTGGTACTCTGCCTCTGCTCCTGTTGATGCAGGCTAGTGAGGTCTGCACTCGCAGGGGCAAAACAAGGGGGCTCGTAGGTTGGTGGCGTGACATCTTCGTAATACGTCAACTGCATTACCAAAACACGCTCGCACAGTAGTGGCGGTAATCCTTCCACCACCTCAACCAGTTTTGTTATAATACCTGCAAGCGCCTGTTGAACCTCCTGACGTGTGTGACGTTTTCCTCGACTTCGTGTCGTGGTGGAAGTTGCAGCTGTGCATGGACGCAATGCTGCGTCATTCAGTGAATTACCTGCAAACGTTAAGGCAGCCCTCTTACCATTCGGCGTGTAAGACAAGGCAAAACTGTAGCTCTCAAGCAACTCAGTACAATTTGGGGTGTATACGCAGAGGGACAGCGCCTTCAAATACCCCTTGTTGAGTGCGTCAAACGCTCCATCTTCCATCCACTGAGAGATGACGTCGGCCTCCGGCGATGACCGCACTAACTGCTTAAGCTGCAAACCGAGGAATTGTCGGGGCTGATACGACTCGTCGTTGCACAGCCCACGAAGGTAGGTGACACAAGAAACAGCCACACGGATAAAGTTACGAATGGCAGCAAGACTCTGAACTTGCGTCACCTCCGTGGCTGTGGATGTCATGTAAACCGTCGTTTGGCAAGTGATCCTGCAGTTCAACCTAAAGCAAGAAAAAAAACACGCACACACAGCCTTCAAGAGCACCAAAAGAGGGAAGGAAGAAAGATCCAGAAAGAGACCACACCTCGTCCACATAGCACCTTGCCACATCTCACACAATACGGTCTTACGTATAAATTATCAACCCTGGCGGGACCTGAAATATATATATTTAAAATAATTCAACAGAACAAAGAAATAAAAACAAACAAAGAAAGGATGGACGTGTACTGCCAAGGCTCTTTCCAGCGGAGAGATCACTTCTTTGCGGCCTTGCGCTCGGCCATCTCCGCGCGCACAGCCTTGCCCTTAGCGGAGCGGTCAACCTTCTTCGTCTTGGCCCGCACCTCCTGAATGTAGGAAAGGTCGGCACCAACGATGCCGCGCTCCACCTTTACGGCACGAGCGGCGCGACGACGACCAACGCGGTCAACCTTCAGCTTGCGATGAATGCGACGGTATGTGCGTGTCCACGGGACAAAGCGAGGGTTCTTCTTGCGCATGTACATGGCGAAGCACTTGGGGCGGGCAAACGTCAGGACGGGCTTCGTCGACAGAAACGCAAAGGGCACGTAGCGGCGGCCGTGGCCGGGATGCACCGCGAAGTGAGAGAACTCACAGTCAATCGTCCGCATAGCTCCTCCTTTCTTTCGTGCGAGTGTCCAGGGAAAGGAGAGAAAGAAGAGGAAAGGAGGAGAAACGACGGAAAAGAAAAACTCCACAGTGAGCAGCCATTCACATACCCAGCAACACAGAATTACCACTCCCAACAAAGAAAAAAAAACAAGAATAACCAAACAATAGCAATAACAGGTGTTGGTTTTTGATGAATCCGATATATATATATATATATATATATATATATATATATACAGACATACAAACATGCTATCTCTCCCTCTTACACATACTCTCCCTCGCCTGCAGACACACACGCAGGCATGGAAACTGCGGCTTTCCGCATAACTATTAGTCTCATGGCACAGATAGACGTGGCAAGTAGCGATAGAGCGAGTTGTAATGGGAGGATTCGGCGCAGAGGAGAGGTAGGAAAGTGTTAGGGGTTGCACGTATGCAGCTGCAATGCATATCCTCTGGATACCCTCTGTTTTCCTCCAAAAACCTCACACGCATAGTGGGCAAGAATCCAGGCGCGACACCGTTCACTCCTTAACTTTTCTAGTCTTTCTGTGGGGCACTCTGCATGCAGCTCGCCCCAACACACCTGCATGATGCTGCGCGGTACGGGATAAATCCCCGCCTCGCCCACAATATTCAAAACCATCACTAACAGCATCACACACTTCCACACAGAGAAATGCGCCACCAAACAGAGGTGAGCCACAACGCATCCCATCGTGTAGTGTTCTCCTTCCGCACTCACTCTGGCCGCGCCCGCACCAAAACAAAAGCAAAGCGAGAGAAGCAACAAGCAAAGACGCACACCACCTTCACTATCAGCAATCCCCTCCTCACTTGGCGGTTGCAAATAAAAGAAAAAAAATCTGACACGATGACATTCCACACAACAAACAAAATCACCACCGTATCAAAACATTTGATGAGAGCTGAAAAACAGTCTTATCCCCTTCCTTCTTCACCTACTCACAAAGAGAGTAACGTGCTCACCTAGTGTGAAGTAGTATTCGCGGTACGCAGCCGACATTTCCCCCTGGAAAGGCCCCAAATCAATAATCCTACAACTACAAAGGGCACCACAAGCACCAAGTAATTCGAGGCACCCCACACCCCACTCGATTCTGGGTTGGCAGCAACGTGTCTACCACCGGCTTGAGGCTCAAACACAAAGGTCCTCATGGCATGCTCCTTATCAGTGGGTAAGACATGCTCTAGCAGCTTCGGCAAGGAATCAAAAATCTGCGAGAGAAACAATATACAAAGGGGCTCCATAGCATACCCACGTAAATTTGGCCTTGAGAGAGTCTGAGAGCTATCAAAGTTGAGCAATTCGCGAAGGGATTCATAGGATAAGACGGAAGAGGTAGTACTGGAGGCCAAACAACGTCCGCCAGTGAAAAACACATTATAGTGCGCTTTCTCCCGAAGGGTATTCACCGAAATTAAGATACGCTCAAGAAACGGTGACGGGTATATTACCAAATGAATATGTGAGGGACGCAAAGAGGAAGCGAGCAAACCTCCGAGAAGGCAAATAGCAGCTGGTGTCTCATCCGAGCTGACATCAATGTGAACTACATCAAATAGTATCGTTGAAAGGCGCAACTCGCCAAAACTTACCGAATGAAATGGTAACAGTGGCACAGAAATCTGCGACAGCGTGCCATTATCCCGGATTCTATATTGACAGCTATTCTCTTTCACCGAGCAGGCTGCATCAACTGTGTTTGTGGAGTTCATCTCGCCAATAACGCCTTGAAGCGGCATGGCTGATTCTCCCCTAAACGAATAATTATTATACGTAGGAATTAGCACACCAATTTTTTTAAGATCCCTTTCAATGGTACGCCCCACAGTGGCATCGCCATATACCAAAGCATACACACCTATCGAGCGCCCAAGCACCTGATTTGCCCGCTTCACGTGGAGCTGTGAGAGGTACGGTCCGATGCAGGAGCTGGCTGAGCAGAGATGAAGCACCTTTGCCGCACCACCAGGGATTGCGGGGGCGGAACTCAGCAACTCCTTCATAATCGCACTTTCGCTGCGGAATTCCGTTGCGGCATTTTCCCCATCTGAACGGACCGGTTTCACGTTTTTTGTGAAGAAACGCATCACCTTGTGAGCCACATCAGCTGCCCCGAAGGGGCGTGCCGCAAGCACCGTGAGGTCATTCAAAGGGGACGGCAAGGTCACGAGGTGCACACCCGAAACTCTGGCGAAATACGGCACACGTGCTGCAGGTTTTTCAAGGGAGTACCCATTTTCTGCTGTCAAGTACACACTCACAGTGACAAAGGAGGAAACCAGCGCAATAATGGAGACGATCAAATTCCATCGTATCACCTGCTTGCCATCCGAAAGAGGCATCTCCCCCCACCCCCACCCCCAACCAAACTCCACCTAACAGAGAGAAAAAAAAAAGGCGAGACCAAACACCAAGCACGGCAGGAAAAAAAAAAACTCACTGATGGCATAAAACCCGAAAAAAGAACATCGACAAAAAAGCACAGATACACACTAGCAGAAATACAAGTAAAAGGTAAGTCTGCCACATGCGCAACTTCACATACAACAGATAACCAAAAGTAATTGAAAAGTATGAAACAAAGCAACCGAGAGTAGCTAGCGGAGAGATCACTTCTTTGCGGCCTTGCGCTCGGCCATCTCCGCGCGCACAGCCTTGCCCTTAGCGGAGCGGTCAACCTTCTTCGTCTTGGCCCGCACCTCCTGAATGTAGGAAAGGTCGGCACCAACGATGCCGCGCTCCACCTTTACGGCACGAGCGGCGCGACGACGACCAACGCGGTCAACCTTCAGCTTGCGATGAATGCGACGGTATGTGCGTGTCCACGGGACAAAGCGAGGGTTCTTCTTGCGCATGTACATGGCGAAGCACTTGGGGCGGGCAAACGTCAGGACGGGCTTCGTCGACAGAAACGCAAAGGGCACGTAGCGGCGGCCGTGGCCGGGATGCACCGCGAAGTGAGAGAACTCACAGTCAATCGTCCGCATAGTTTCACAGCTCTAAGATGAAAAGGAACAGGCACACATACCAAACACCAAAAAAGGAAGAGAAAAGTGAAGACAAAATCAAATCAAAAATGAGCATGCACCCATATAGCAATCAAATTAGCACAGTCACACACTATGCTGTCAGCCACATTTACCAGTCACTCGGGAGTTCTGTTGTAACTACAACGGAGTGCGCCAGTCAATCATCTTGAGAAAAATGTTGCCCTCGCTGTGATGGGTCGCGTTGCCCCTGTTACTGTGCAGTCTCACGTCTAGGATGAGCACTTCGCACACCTTTTGGCACGACACAAGAAATTTTCTCTCTTTTTCAAGCAGAAAAGAGTGATAAGTCAATAAGGAAAAAAAAACACACGCACACAAATCCACCACAAAAATGAATGCTGCTGCGATGGAAAAACGTAATTGTTGCTGGTTGTTAGTCGCAGTGTCACTTACCCAACAACAACAAAAATAATACTGTCCGAGAAAAGAGCGTCGCGCTTCCTTGCCTTCTCTTTCGTTGTTCAGTGCTTCTCTTCCTCTTTTACCTCTACCACTCTCTCCATCACTCTTACAGTTCAAGCTTCAACTTATTGAAATAGCCAAAGGTGTGGGAACGCGTCCGTGTCATACGGCCCACTGGTGGTTCACTTAAACTAAGCAAATACGGTCGAATTGATTCGAGGGAGCGTCGAAGCCCCGCCTCCCTTATGCCCCGCCGGTCAAGCCCCTCAATGAAGTGGTCTAAATACTCGGGCGGCACAACACCCCATACTCGCTGTGGAACGTCATCTCTGTCGTTCGTGTGACCCTCACCATTGACGTTCTTGAAATTGTGTTCGATTTCATCTGCATCATCCAGCAACATAGGCCTTAAACCCTTAATGTGCTGAGTCAAGCGTTCACGTGGCTCAGGGAGTATGGGGAAATTGGTATCTGTGGCAGCAGTGGACTGAACAAGAATATGACGATCAAATGGAAATCGCCAATACATCCGTCGGTAGCGGTCCATACCGAGTGGGCAGATGAGCGCCCCAACGTCTTTGCCATCCTGCATGCCCAAGTATTCACTCACAACATTTTGCAGCTTCTGTTCCATCTTTTCAAACAGTTTTTCCCGCCTTGCTTCATAGGTCTCCGAGTTGTCATTCTCCGACTTCGAAGACGAAGAAAATTGTTTAAGGAGGGAAGTAATCTCCTTGTGGGCTCCTTCTCGGATTTCCTTCGTTCGCTTTTCCATCGTTAACTTCATCTCCTCATGCATTTTTCTCATCTTTTCCGCCTCTTCCTGTGCTGCGGGGGAGCTAAGCGCCTCCAACACCATGTACTGTAAAAGATTCAAACGATCCTCCATATCCACGTTACCCCAGGCGGCCATATGCCGCAGCTCCGTCACGTGTTCCAGAGTGACTTTTATCCTCCCATCCAGGCTTTCTATCCTACACTCTTCTTCCTTTTCCTCTCTCTGTCCCGCCTCGTCCCCATTTTCCATTTGTTTTTCCCTATCCTTCTCTTCATTGGAGCTGACGGCTTCCGCCTCATCTGCATCCGCAGCTTCCTCTTCTTCCTCCTCTTCTTCCTCCATATTCTGGCTGTCTTCTTCTTCTTCTTCCGCCTCGTCACTTTCATCCTCATCATCATCATCATCGTACGAGATAGCCTTTGGACGTGGTGGTGGACGACTCTTTTTGTTACCACTGGATACCGCCACAAACTCAACCATGCTGCCGAACCAGTCCCTCCCTCGTGTCGAAATTTTTGGACCATTGGAAGAACGGAGATTTTCCCTAGCCACGTCTAGAAGTGCAAGCACAACTTCCTCCATAAGTCCATTGTCGCGCCCCTCATCCGACAACAAACCTTTCAGAAACAAATGAAACGGCATCTGCGAAATATGCAATGGTCTGGGCAGCGATGTAAGCATAGCCCAAATAAAGAGAGCCCGTTCATACTCTTCGGGTGGTTCCAGCGGCAATTTGTTGTAGCGAACGTAAGCACTTTTAACGGGATTCTTGATGGTCATGTCCTCCATGAGGCTTGTTGAGTCTAATTCACCTAGGTGGGCACGTATAAGCTTTCGCTCTTCTTCTTTCTTTGCTGTTAATTCTTCCTTCGCCTTGGCCCGCTCAAGAGCCTTCGTGCGTTGCTCCTCTCGCTTTGCCCGCGCAGCTTCGCGTGCATTGGCCTTGGCTTCAAGTGCCTCTTCTGATGGTCCTTCAAAAGGCACCGTGGTAAATCCTTCAATCCGGTTAACCTCCGTCATACAGGCATGTGCAATGGGGTGAAGCAAATCTTCATCGAATTCATAGCGGCACTCTTCATCGGTTTTAAAGAGATGAGAAGCGTTTTGAATCGCCTGCATAATGCCATCCAGGGTCACTTCCAAAAACGGCTCAGGTGATTTATCTGTGTTTTCGTATTTTGACTGAAAGGCAGAACGCTCCGCATCAACGATTTCTTGCGCCTGTTTTACTTTATTTTCCAGCAGTTCAAAAATGGGCAGTAAATTATTATACCGCACCGCATACACCTGGCCGAGAATCTGAACCAGTTGATTAAGAAGTGTAACCACCTTCTTTTCTTGACTTGTTAATGCTCGAAGGCGGCCATACAACATTCGCTGTAATGTGAACTGCGTACTCGTATTCTTGGCACTACCAGACGCCTTCTTGCCTCCTTCTGTTTTTATCCACTTAACTGGGGTTGCCGTGTTGGCTTCTTCTGTTCCACCCGCGGCTGATGTTTCCTCCCACGTGGGTGTCAGACGCTTGCGCGAGGCTGTCTGTGTGAACACGGAAGGGATGACATCATTGATGGTAGTATCGCCTACGGTCGTCAACGAGGAGGCAGGGGCAGTGGATTTTGAAAACATCCCTACCTTCTCCCCTGCATCTCGCATTTCTTGTCGAAGAGACTTCTCAACGACGCTAAAATGATCCATAAAGGATGAAATCTCGCGAATGGGTACCTCAGAAGCGCTAAGACATGCTGTGGCAAGTTGCGCGAGTGTCCCCTTCACAGCCTCTGTGGCCCCGTACAGCTCCACGACACGCTGAAGGGCATTATAGTTTATAGTGACTGTCCGAAGTACGTGTGAGCGACCTCCCAAAGGGATGAAAGAGAGAAGATCAGACAAGTAGTTAACTACCAAGTGCAGTGTGGCGGGTCCATACATCCTTTGGTTCCTGGCGTCAGCCTCGACGACGTCCAAAGCAGCCATGAGTGTCATCTCGTCGGCCTTTATCCTGTACGGCAGCACCTCGTCATTGGGAAGCGTACTGAAGGCGGCGGCGCTCCCTGCAGCGCCATCATTCCTGTAGATCTGAAACGCCGTTCTTGTCTTCAGAACAGCGCGCTGGGAGCTACTGGCAGCCTCCTCTTGCCCGCCCTGACCTTTCGGTTGAGACATAAAAATGTCGTTTAGCACAAATCCACGCACAAAAAAAAACACCCTCCCACCGGAGAAACAGCGCCACCTCTGGCACCTAATTGCGGTACAGTCTGCCCATCCTCAATGTGTGTATGTGTGTGTGAGGAGAGAGAGAGAGAGAGAGAAAGAGAAAGACACCAATCAAGTTAACAGCAAAACAATAACAAGAGGAAAATCACAGAATAAACATGATAGAGACGAACGGCAACAACTCGGCACCACCACTTCTAGTAAGTGGAGATGTATCCAGCAGACCCTGCAATTGAAGGAGTGCGTACACAACCTCCCCTCACAGCACCACAACCACCAACAACGAAAAGGCCTCAAGAAAAAGCTTTTGTTCTGCACTTATATCAGTTCCATCACCAAAAAGTTATCTTTGAGCTCTGGTACGCTTAAATTTGCATTGACCGCATTCTTTGGGTGCGGCTGTGGTGTCGGCGTCACGGCGGCATGTGACAATGGCGGTGACGCTGATGAAGCAGAAACCGCATCTTGCCGCTGCAGTGCCTTCTCTTCCTCTTCCACAGCATGCAGAAGGTTTGACCACCAGTCTAACGGAACTCGACTAGCCATTGTTTCATCGTTTTGCAGGTGCGGCAAGAAGGACGGTGTCGCCGATAATTCCTCGCGGGAAAAGGGACGTGGCAAAAGGCCACCAAGTGCGTGCACGCGCTTAAACCCTTCGTAATTAGATGATTCATGGTACAAGGCAGCAAAGCCATCCTTGAATCGCAAACTAGGGGAGATCCTCGTCGGAGTCAGTTTCCCCGATCCTGTCAAGCTCCGCTTGGCGTACAGGGTGCTTGCCAGCTCGTTCTGCAGGTCTGTGTGACCGCGGAGGGATGGATCGGCGCGGACAAACTGCAACTGATGCTCCCGAACAATACGTTGGATCGCAGCAAGAATGTGGTCAACATGGTACATGAACATAACATGCGCTAGCTCCTCCATCACATGCCACACCAGCGCCCTGAGAGGAAACATCTCCGAGGTAAAGGGCAAGGCAAAGTAGGCGGTGCCAACATCCGTCTCCGAGGACCACAAAAATAACTGCAGCTCCCCAAAAAGTGTCTCTACCACATCACTCTTAAATTTGCTTACAACACGATCGCTTAAGGTCAACTTCTGCAACTCAAGATGATCATACGCTCTTGCCAACCCATCATTGCCGTCAATCATAAACTGCGCGTAGCCCAGGCGACCACGGATACCACCCTCACGCACTGGAAAGAGGACATTGAAGCGATCATTGAAGACATACTTCACCACGTTATCTCCAATCCACTCCAGGCGTTCAAATTCCCAGGATCGACCGGCACCTCCAGCACTCTGTTGTACGTTGAAGGTGTCACGAATAACATCCCGGTCCTTCAAAAACTGAAGAAGATACTGCAACCGACGTTTACGGATATGACTATTGTCATGGCTCAGGGAAGGAATACGGTTAAAGACAGTAGAGGTGTTAAGCCGGTGCCACCACATCTTGGCAATCTCTTCAGGAGTACCACAGTAGGCACGCACCATCTCTAGCATCAGCGCCTCCCGCCCTGAATGAGGAATAACCCCGCTATGACTATGCCACTGCATGTAACTTTCATTGCAAAGTTTGCATCGCTTACCGTCAAAGTCGCTAAAGAGATCCACAAATTTTTTTAGTGGTACATCCACGCTAAGTTGGAACGCACGACCTCCTACATCTGACACCATGTCCTTGCGGTAGATACGCACATGCCCGTAGGGATCGTTTGGATCCATCGATGGAGCGCCCACATCAACTGGAAGTGGCTCTGTACCAGCAACAGAAGTCGACGTGGACGAAACAAGTCGTACGCGGCGTGGAGTCACATTTTGGTCAGACGGCATTGCTGTCGTTGCATACCTTCGTCTTAAATGTAAACGCGAATTGACTCCCCACACAGCGCCCAGAACGACACAGGGACACCCACGCCTCAGCATGATGATCCACCTTGCAAACGCCTCTTCAAACGGAAAAATCACAAGTCACAACAACAACAAAAAAAAAACACACACACGACAAGAAACACATGTTAACGAATCCATCCACATAGGTGTGCAAGATACACAAGTAGTGAAAATCCTTCTCTCCCGGACTCCCGTTTTCCCGGTTTGTGCAACCTACACTCTCTGAGGAGTGTTGTAAAAGAAGGGAAAATGGGGGAAAAAATGACTCATCTTGTTTTCTGTACATTCTACCATCCGACTCAAAACATGCGCAAGGCCTCATTTCTTACGTTTTCCCTCTTTGGAATCTGAAGCAGTAAATTCCATCACTTTCTTCTCAATCTCCAGCAGCCTCACCTCAATCTCATCCAGGCGGTCAGCAGCCTTGGATGTCACCTCCTTCTTGATGCTCTCGAGTTGCTCCCGGATGCCGTCACTATAATGGGGATCGTTCAGTAACCGCAGTCGCATCCTCTCTTGCTCGTATGCATCTGATACAGTTTCCTCTTCCTCTATTGTCTGCGCCTCCGCAATGCGCCGCTGCTCCTCCACTTTGTCCCGCCACTCACTTTCGTCAATGGCAGTGACTAGCGATGGCAGGCCAACTGGCGGTATTTCATGTATGTGACTCACATCTAGGCAGCGGACACTCGCCACCTGTCGCGGCACAAATGCATAAACGTACATCTTATAGTGACGGTAATATGACTGCAGCATGTATTCATCAATCTCCTGCGCGTCCCGTACGGTAAAGATGGCGCAAGAAAATGGTGGACGCGGAACGCTGTGTTGTATCATAATATCTTGCATCTTATGATACGACTGAGCCCGTGTGTAACCACCTGACATGCTGTCCTTATGAAGTTTAATAACAACTCCCACGAGAGTGCTGACCTTCTCTGGTGACATGCAATGTGACTTACAGAAAAGAATAAGGTGGGCGAGCATGTCAAGAAGAATCATAATTTGCCCCTCGTTGTAGTGTGCCGCACCGATGAGCTGTCCGTCACCAGCCTCATCAATTTCCTTTAGTACCGAGCGAATTGAGGGAACATCTGGCGCTGCGAGACACTTGTGTGTTTCCTCAGGACCGAGTAGTTTCCACGTTAATGAGTGAGCCATGCGAGTGCCACCACCTATTTCCTTCGCATGCGTGAGAAACAAAAGGAGGATAAAACAACAAGAATAACAATGAGATTCATTTCATTCACCTTGAATGGTCACACTGCCGTGTCTCCGTGTGCCTGTGTGTTCCAGTGGAGCAGCTAGTGACCGCAGCGGAATAGCGTGACCCTCCCCATCCGATTCCATGCAACCCACCGATGAACAACAACACCAAACCGACACTCACAAACACACAAACACAAATAAATAAATACAACATGCAGTACATCCAACACAATAACAGCTGCATATCTCTTCACTTATGCAAGCCTTGGGTAACCAAACTCTTCTTCGTCATGGCACGAAGGAAATAGCGACGCGCTTGGCCCACAATAATGTGCAGCTGATCATTTTCATCCCCTACAGAAGAGACGTTTGCCACCACCTCATCAGGATCCAAGGTGGAGAAGAGCAATTCCTCCAGATGCGCTGCAGAGCCGCTAGTGGCTGTCTTCTCCAATGCACTACCAGTGCATGCCTCTGTCAGTAATAGCTTGACACGGTCGTACAGCAGAGCGGCCTCCTCGCCACATCCACCAATGGCGCACGCCCGCAGACCATAAAGGAGAAAAAATGCCTGATTCATTTTCAACTGTTTCTCATCCTTGATACGCTTCTCATGTATATTACTGGGGCTGTAGCTGTTTGCGCCTCCTGCCGGCGTGTCAGTGACGCCGTCCAACAACGGACACATCTCCTTGACATGCTGCAAAGCAAGTTTCCACCTCCGTTGGCGCACAAGCAGCAACAAAAGTCCATTGGCACTTTGAAGATCCCACTGGTCCCCCTGAATCTCCCGAAGCCGTAGAGCGGTGTTGGAGAGGTTAACAGGGGCACGACATAGAATCCGCAACGCAGAGCAAGCGACAATACTTGGCAACGGCGTAATGGAGCTTCTGCAGCTTGCAAAGTTAATAAAGGGCCGCAACAAACTATCCAACGCCTCTCGCCAATCAGCATGTTTCACAGCAACCTCACACAGAAGTGAGGTGAATGAGGCTGATGGTGGTTCTACATGGACCCCCTCCGGCACCACCACCTTCTGCTGCTCGTTCAAGACAAGTTTAAGGCACATATGCAAAGCATGCTTGTCATGAAGGGTCGATCTTGCCTGAACATTACGGATAGCCCAGCATGTGTCGCGTTCCACAGGTGTGTACAGAGAAGCCCAGCGATCCAGCCAAACCCACCCAAGGTCTCTTCTTCTTATCGACATGCTAAGCTGCATCATCGGTAAAAGGAGTTCCGACAAAACATTTCTTTCATGCTTCTGAAAACCTCGCCTATCACTGGCCTTCGCTGTGCTGAGAGAACCAGAATGAGCTGCAGTATGCTCCACAGCATCCCAATACACCGAGATGGCCTTTAACCATAAAGAACTCCCATCAGTTGCACCCGTTGCGCCGCCGCGAAGACGCTCCAACACATTGACAAAAAACGGCATTCCAAAAGTTCCAGGACGCAAACGTAAATGATGGAGGGTAACATGTAAGAGTAAGAAGGCATCATCCGACTTCATTGAGTGAAGACGAGAGCTAAGCGCATCTTCAACGGCAGAGGAATCACCTTCATGGTGAACAACCACAGAATAAATCGACCTATGCATTTTTGCTGTCGCCTCAATCCTTGCAACGTCCTCCGGAGAGAATATCTGAAGACGCTGGGTTGAAGGAGAAACATCATCATCATCATCATTGGTTCTACTATGGGCTTGCCTGTAGAGAAGGGCATCTAATTGACGCACTTCCTTCTGCCGCAGAGAATGTCGGACTTGTTTTCCCAAGCCAACGTTAGGCCGGAAAAGAGAACGTAAAAAAAATTGTGTACTCACCGGGAAATGTCGCCTAGGCGCATCTGTGTGCAGGAGCAAAAGGATACGGACCATGAGAACGAGGGACTCCACCGTTTCCTCCGAGGTGACACCAAACAGAAGCTTCTCACTACTGGGGGTAAGGTTAAAGAGTCGGCACATCTCCTTTGTCAGCCGGACAGCCGTTCGCACTAACCTCGCCATGACGGATCGCAACTCTACGCTCTTATATGCGTAAGAAGGGATGGCGCTCAGCGCCTCCGTTCCCATGCCTAGAAAAAGTGTCAGCTGCTTGGGGGTAAGCAAGGCGACGCCTCGTCGTCGCGAGGCAAACTCGCCATGGGCCGTACACAACGCCAGGGCAACACGAAAAACACATAACGCCATGTAGGCGGCGACGGACGACCTCTCTGGGGCTCTACGTGCAGAAACATTCGCCTCCCCCAAGTACAATTTAGAGAACGTCCCCCATACACCCATGCGACTGTATAATACGTCCACAAGGAAAGAAGTAAGTTGAACGGCGTCTTCTTGTGAAACCACAAGGATGGACGCTAAAGCGATAACACGAGGGAGAGAAATACAAACCAGCACAAAAGAATCTATTAACCACTCTGAAAGGACTGCACCCACAAGTAAGGCAGTTGCAGGTTGTTCAGTCGGGTTCTTAAGTAACGAGGTACTATTCTCTGGCGTGGTTTCATTGACAGTTGAAAACAAACCCTTTCGAAGCGACGTGGCAAGTAACTCTTGCGCTGCAACCTCTGCACGGTAGCGGTCAACCTCAATTTGCAGATGTGAGGCCGCAAGTTTAGCAAGCATAATGGCCTCCTTTATTGCTGTAGGAAGGTTCACTGCGTGGCTTCCAAGCAGTTCCACGTATTTCTCAGGTCGATCCAACTTCATGGTGCATGCGTATACAAGCCATATAGCCTGAACTGCATAACCAGCCGCCGTTGACTTTGAAATAATATGCGGGACAATGTGATGCGCCATACATTCTTCAATTGCAGGATTTTTTCGCCATGGCTCCTCCTCCGCGGCCATCAAGACAAATTTTGCGTAGTCCTCTTTGCTCAATGCGACGCCGTACCGCTTAGCCAACTTAAGGTAATGAAAAGACACTTTCCAGGATTGAGAGCACATCACAGCCCGCCGTGTGATTTCAAGAAGTTCATCGGGAAGCGATGTGACACGCCTTGTTGCTAGAATTGACTCCATGTACACACTTGAAAGGTGAAGTGCCTCCACCCAGTAGCGACGGTGTCTTATGGCGGATTTACCTCCATCAACCTTAATGGGTGACTTCTGTGACTTTCCTGTCTTAGTCGTCTCAACTAGAATACTGGCATCCTGCAGTAACATGAGATGTTTTAAATGAGTTATTACCCCCATTAGACGGTTTGCTTCCAAAGAATCCTGCAGCATGTCCCCATCGACCTCGACGGCGTCAGCAAAATGGGATGCATCCAACTTTCCATCATACTTGATAGGCACACTCTCCTCGCTGTCGGGAAATTCAATATTTCCCATCGAAGCCTCATAGAGAAGCCACTGCCTGACCCAACCTTGGTGCTGAGAATGCAGCTGGTTTACCGAGTTAAGAACGTTGTTATCCGTTTCATTTGAAGTCCTCTTAATGGCAGTGACACCGAGCCCAGAGTTCGTGGGTTGCGACGGCACTGCGGTGTTAGAAGTGACGACCCTAGCAGAGGTGCCTTGACGCTCTCCCTCGTTCTTCCCCACTCCCTCACATCCTGCGGGTGTCACCACCCCCTTGGGGGGCGTCAACGTAGTATCTTCGCCTCGTCTTCTTTTTTCACGCTGCCGCAACTCCGCCCCCCGCGAGAGGCGTCTCTCCCGCATCCATGCATCCATTTGGGAATCTGCTACAGTTGTGGATCGGTCGTAGGGTAAATTACTCAGCAGCAGAACAACGTCCCACTTCTGCAACTGCACCCCCAATGCCAACAGTCGCTGGTAAAACTGCACCGCGGCCGCGATGGCACGCATCCGAATAAGATGGTGCAAAAACCACCTTGTCGTGAGCGACAGAGACTCCGATATCTCCGAGGCATGCAAACAGCAGCGACGCAAAGAGGTCCACATGGCGAGCAAGATGGGAGCGTCCTCTTCGTTTTTCTCCAAAAATTCAAGCAGGGGATCTTTTGAGGTAGAGGTTCCCTTACCACACAATTCCGAAAAAGACGAGTGAGCCTCCTCCGAAACAAGCCCCAACTCCACCGCCCTTGTGCGTATCTCATTGCTTGTCGTAGGCGTCAATAATGTGTTCTGCTGAACAGGGGGTGTGCCAGCCGCCTTACCCACCGACGTGGTTTCTTTTGCCACCACCGCCCTTGAGAAACCAACTTGGTGCCACGCTGGACCATAGCGATACCCCATCTGCCGTGCGTACCTGCCCGACTGCGTCACTCGTGCCACATTGGGGTGGCTTCTACCAAGCGCTATGGAAAACACATCCGTCAGAGCCCACAAAGCACGCATACAGCGCCCTCCTATAGCAGCGCTAACCATGCATAGAACGGGTGAAGCAATCACACACAAAATAATAACAAGAAAAAAAAACATGATGAGGAAAAAGGACAAGACAATAGGCAGCGCTTTCAACTCACTCCTAGAAATACCTTCCTCCACATGTACAACCATCGGTTGGCTGCTGCTCGTCTTAGCCCTCCATTTTAGAGAGAAACTGAGTGGAAGAGAGCGAAAACGCTCGAGAATGGATTCCATGTCTCCCTGTTGTCCACCACAATTTTGGAAGCGACAGTAACGCGGCGATAAAAACAATCGCCCCAAAAATTCTTTCAAAGCAATGAATCACACATGCCTACACGCACAGACATCTTCCAGTGAAAAAGCACTACCGACAGCACACGAACCCTTCAGCTGGTTTCCTTTCGGTTTTTCTTTTTATTTCCCTCAAGACTTTTTAAGCTTCCGCCGTGGTGAGGAGTTGGAGGAGTATCTATAGAGCGCACTCATCAGGAAAAACACAACAAAACTCAGGACGTATAACAAAACCAGAACACTGACCAACGCCAGTTTTTGTGCTGGCCGCGAGAGAAGAAAGATGTAATAGAGAGAGATTCCCTCTTTTTTGCGGGTAAGCGCAAAGTACAGGAAAAATGTGGGGACTAGGAACGGTATCAATGCCTCAAGCACCAAGTTTACTCGAAGGCAAAGGCGCAAAAAATGAACTCGCCCACTCGCATAGACGCTCACGTCAGGTGTGCGTTGCACGGAATACAAAGACTGCCGCACTCGCTTCAACCAGAACTCGCGTATTCCTAACAGTACCCAACTCAAAGCGGCCACGATCATGAAACCAATTACAAACGGGTTATAGAGGGCCGCCTTCAACTCCGCCTCCTGAGCGGCGGTGAGCGAGACACATGTCCCAAGGTCTGTTACCAGGTCCACGCTTTCGAGACCCGTGTTTTGCCCCAAACGTGCCTTGGCAATAAGAGCAAGGGAGAAAATGAAGGTCTCCTCTGGAAGCAGGGTATTACCATACACGGCCCGGCGCAATTCAAGTTCCACCTTCATCCCCTTTTCATTAGAAGCCTTGAGGATACTCTTACGCCGCGTCCACTCTTTCAACTGCTGACGCAGAAGTGAAGTAGACTCGTCATTTCCAACAATCTTGACATTGATATCCCGAATCTGGGTGGTGATACTCTGACGAAAATGTGACATAAGAGGAAGCACAAGGTCAATAACCATCTTGTGTGCTTCTCTACTGGCATTAAGCATCTCTGTAGAGTCACGAAGACTCTCCTTAATCCTCATTTTGATGTAATTAGCATCCTGAATATTCTCCATCGCATTTGCAGTGCGTTGTGCCGCTTCCACCCGACTCATATATTTCTTGATATTGCGCACCTCCCGCTCAGCATGTCCCACGGTTATTCCATCAAGAACCATTGGATAAGGAAGGGTATAGATCCATTTCTCGATCCACACGTTCCCCCGTTTCTGCGTCATGTTCCTTATGGTGTGGCTAAACGCGGTTTTCAGAAGGTGAGCGTACTGCTCTTCAGGTGTGCTGCCAGGAATTTCTTGAGAAACAAATAAAGAGGCCTCATAGAGAAGCTCTTTTACACGATCAGCATCAACGCGGATTTCATCCCACGCAAGTTCAAACAAGGATATGTTCTTGAGCTCTTTGAGACGTTCACTACGGGCATTATTCCGACTCCTCACAGCTTGTGCTGAAAAACTCTCCAATCTCATTTTTAACGCCTTTTTGGAGTTTCCCTGCTTCCTCTTGTTATCACCCTCCTTGTCCTTGCCCTCGCCTCCTTTTCCTTTTCGCTGCTGTTGCTCCCACTGCCTCTGTTTTTTCCTCGTCATCCACTTCTCATACGCCTCATCCTCAGCTTTGAAGAAGACGGTGTCTTCGTCGCGGACATCTCCATGTGGCCACAGCCCTACAACGGAGGAGGGGGGATTCACAGAGGAGTGCATCTTTCCGGGCGTCAGCACTACTACCTCCCCCGTGATGGGGTCCGTCAGCGTCGCGGATTCCGCCCTCACTGACGCTGGCAAGGCGCATAAGAGCGTGAGGATGAGCAAACAGACCTGTCGCCGCCCCCGCAGACTGCTTCCGCAAGGCATGTCTCACCCCCCCCCGCCCTAAATACTCAAGAAATAACCACAACGGAAATATCCTTCAACAGTGATAAAAATAAAAAGAGGGAGAGCGAAAATAAAAGCCGCATGAAATGTCTTGAATAGCAGTGCCTCAGCCTGCCCTTAATCCAAGTTTAGGCATCCGGCATCACACGAAAGGGCGGGATGCCGGAAAACAAACAGCTCCCTCTCCTTCTTGGTCTCTCTCTCTCCTTTTTTCTGCATGATGCAGTTCGCTAAACACCAAAAGTAAAAATCAAAAAAGTAGTTACATACACAGCGGTCTGCAGAGAACACTGGCTCCTCCCTCATCAGGGTTCCTTATGCCTGTGCATTACACACATCAGGTTGAAGCTATCAATATCTAATGGGATATAGAGAAACAATCAAAGGAGCCAGTGCCGCATCAAAGAATGGTCCAATCCTGCACACCAACAAAAAGCCACAGATAGAGAGAGAGAGAGAGAACAAAAAAAAAAAAGAGAAGAAGTAAAAATAAGCAAATAACAATAATAATAATTAAACCTCAAAAGATGGCGATGTAAGTACAGCTAAAAATAGAATAAAAACAAAATGAGCAGGAGCATACGCCGCTTTCCTTGTTTTCCACCCACCTCACGGGAATACAAAGAGGCAGTAAAACTCTCCAGCCGCCTCCTTGAGGTTCACTAGACAAAATAAGAAACAAAATCAATTACCCAACCCGAATAAGCACACACACACACACACACACAGCACTTGTCATGTGTAACTCAATGATAAGACGCCAAAACAAAACAAAAAAAAAAGGGAGGAAAAAAAAAACACTCCATAAACCGCAAAACCTTTTTTTTTGTTTTTTTTATTCAAGCTCAGTCGAAGATTTTTGGTTCCCGCGTTTTCTCGTCGTCATCCTTCTTCACCCTCTTCCTTTGCCTCCTCATGTACAGCACGCAACCAAATACGCCCACCGCGACCAAAAGCGCAATACCCTCAGCAACGTACCATTTCCGCGGTGCAAGATTCTCGACCCGTTGCTTCGGAGTGACAGTTGCCTTCCTGACGTCAGCCGGCCTTACAGGGGGTTCTGCCTTGTCCTCCACCTTCTTCCCTGCCGCCTGTTTTGTCCAATTGAATACCCGCCCAGCGTAATCCTTGAGGGCTTCAAGGCGTAAAAACTTTTTAACCTTCTCGGTGCCGCTTTTCAGGGCAACTTTGTCCTTTTCAACATCCATCAGTTCCTTCACCTTTGCGTTGACCTTTGCACCGCTCTCCTTGACCCCCTCCACAACAGCCTCAGCTGCATTTCTCGTCTTTTCCGAAGCCTCATTGAGTACACATGTGACACGCTCCATGACAAACGGCGAGAGACGCAACAGAGAATGACAACAGCACCTTACAAACACAAACGGAAGAAAACGTAACCGTAACCTATTCGAACAAAACACGGCACCCCGGTAGGAATCTACTTCTTATTTTCTGCTTTATGTTGCCAATGTCGCTCACATCTATACGCATGTAAATTGTTTTGGTGCGTGGTTGCCACAATGAACGAGCAGCAAGAAGCGGGAAAGAAAAAAAAAAGGACATAAAAGAGCAGTAACCAAAAACAAAAGTTACCTTCGTTCCCACAGAGATAACTGTAATGTCTGACAACAAATATGTCTGCACGACATAGCTTGCAACAAGGGCCCCTGATACACGACAGCTGACTCTTTTTATTATTTTTTATTATTATTGCGTTAGAGAGCGCCGTGAACAAGAAACAACCACACATGCACACAAGAAACAAAACGAATAAGCGTCACACGACACGTACAAACTGGCTCAGCCATAGCTTGACCCTCGCGTAGACCCTACGCATACGTGCGGCATAATACGTTCCGGTAATACGATGCAAGCGTCTGTTGTAGTACGCGCCCTCGCCAATCCCTGGGAGAGTAATCTCTTCTGCTGCGTCCTTAGAAAATTGCTTCCACGGCTCAACCAAGTGCTTACGTAACTTCTTCGACGTCGCCTCGTCGTTGCCATCTACCGTGCCCAAACTATTCATACTACTAGAGTCAAGGTCGTTGAGGTGGAGGCCATAATAGTGCGCCTGCGCCTCCGACAACTCGACAAGCAGATCCAAAAGCAACAACTCCGCAGCCTTAGCACTGAGTCCAATAAATGGCGAATTACCTGTGGAAGACGTATACTGCATGAGACGTCGAAGACAGAGAGAACTTCCTACAGGAAACAGCATCCCCTCATACGGCCTCTGTGGCACAAACGGAGGCCCCTTTCGTATCGCAGCACCAATCAACACTCCACTACACAATGCCATCATGTGGATCAGTTCCTGATGAGTCTTCGAAGAAAGCGTACAATTTCCATACACTGAGACACGACCGCCTGACGTTGTACATTGCTGCCGAATATTGACACGTTTGAGGGCAATTTGCGCAAAGAGTTCCATTCTCGAATCCGGTACGGCATAACGAAAGGGAATGCGCGAGCTAATGGCAAACACAGGACCTCGTCCTCTTGTCTTTGGCTTCGCGTGGTGCCACTGGGCAGCCTTGTGCTCCTCCATCCACACCTCCGTGAAGCTCTTTCCCCACACATGCTCCGAGATAAAGTGAGCGAAGCTGTGCAAGTGATCGTTGCCACGTTCCATGTCCTCCAGCAAGATCAAAGTAAAGCCGTCGGGCTCTCCAGAGATCAAAGCTGTAGCGAGAAGTTGCAAGGCAATCGTCGCCTCCCGAACGTGGCGTGAACTCAGCACCGAGGCAGCCAAACCGTCCGCAATATTAGCAGGCTCAGAATCTACAGTTTTGTTCGGTAGCAACGCCTTCGCCAACTCGTCTTCTACAGCCTCCGCCTGTGTCTGTGTGAATGGATACAGGAGTGCGTCCCATAGTATACCAAGAACTCTTTGCGACCATGGCCAACGCGCGGTATCCATATAGTCATGAATATCACTGGAGACCAAAAGTGGGTTTGTGTCATGCTCTTCAAGAAAGCATTGTACGGCGGCGCGAAGAACCCGCAGTTCACGCAAGGGCACATCACGGGTGGTGAAGTGATACCAGTTCTTAGCGTGCACCATTACCTGACGACCCGGGAACGCAAAGGGAAATACCTGTCTTGCAGCCAACAGCAGTCTCTTTCTATAACTATCAGAGGTATCGCTCTCCAACGGCTGAAAAGGGGGTGAACCACTGGAGCAATACTGAGGTGATGTAAAGAGATCCCCCTCACGTATATCATCCACAGTGATGTTCCCAGCTCTTAGCAAAGATGCCATGAGCAAGAAAGCGTCAACAAGGCGTGGTGACGGATAGCTGCGGTCAAGAATACCAGGGACGTTTGCTTCGTCTTCCCACAGACGTGCTGCTTCTCGAAGAAGAAAAAAGGTCCACTGTGTACGGCAAGACGCGCCACCATTTTTCTCTATACATGAACGAGCACCAAAAAAGTGTTCTATCGTGAAGCGAATGTCTTGCTGCGCCGCCACGCCACCTCTAAATGCACTCATGGCAAGGAGCACAAGGCTCTCCGACGACAAAAACCCGGACCTTGTAAAGTCAAACAACGAATCCTGAGGCGCACGACGCCTCAGAGCATGTGTGTACAACTCCGTTGCCGGCCAATCCTTGTTCTTCAACAGTTCTAGCTTCCCAGTACGGCTGATGTTGCCCACAACAAAATTATTATCCGCATCCGGAGGTAAATCTGTCACTGCAGAGTAAAACGCAGCAGCGCTAACTTCCACAGCCAAAAAGGCATACTTGGCAGCCATATCATACTGGAGTCCGTTTAACAGATGAACATAAGACAATAACACCAAGACTTTGTGAACGACATCGTGAATCTTCTTTGAACGTGTTATTCGTCGCAAACTCGGGTGCGGTTTTGATTCATGCAATTCATTGTGAAGCCCACAGGGCCCCATGGAGATTCCGCTCTCGCGCAGTAGGTGCAACGCCTTGAGCTGTTCTTGGCATGCACCGCCTCTGCCATCTTCCATAAAATGGGACACATCCAATTCCTCTGGGTGTGTCACATCGCATGTATATCGCAGTTTTCGCAGCAGTAGCAAAAAAAGACACTTCGCACGTTTTAAATCACGTGGCACACCTTTAATTCCGGCAATATACAGCTGCCCCAAGAAGAGATTTCGAAAGACGCTCGGGGGCGGTTCACCTGGATCTCCGTTGTTTTCCATGTCCTCCTCCTCGTCATCAATTTCTGAAGTAAATGCCTTGATGCGGCCACGCGTGAGATACGGTTCATTGACCAGGCTCCAGCTGCTTTCCACCGCAAAAAATCGCTCAAACCGTAGCAGTTTCTGCGCCGACGGCGTCGCCATCCCTGAGGACTGCGGCCCTCTGTTCATGGCCTGCCTCCAAAAGTAACTGTGCCTCTCTGACAGCAACTTGAAGAGCAGCACAGCCGCCACAGAATGTCGTCGCGGGGTCATCATCCCATGCTCCTTCATTGTGGCAAGAGCGGCTATGGCCCGTCGTGAACCAGCATGCGAGGCATCCCAAATGCGTAGATACGCGTGTCGGATACGACCCCACCAAACTGGGCTTATCTCCTTAACTTCCGCATTCGTCCCTGGCGTGTCATCAAGAATCTCCAGCACACCAGCAAAAAATTTCATTTCTGCAAGTAACTCCACAGATGGACTACACAATTCAACACAGGTGGAAAACACACCCCGATCCACGTCATCCAGGACAATTTCACGGAGAAGGGAGAAGTAGTTCGCTGCTGTGTCGTTGTAATTGTTATTCTGCAAGAGGACATTGTGATACAAGGCATGCAACTGGACCACAGATACGGCAGATCCGCTGTATACTGTCCAGTTTTCAAGTGTCTCAATACCTTCACAGTAGGAAGAACAATAAGAATTACACATCTCACTCTCACTATGGAGGGTGAGGTCCGTGAGTGAATGGCGCACGGTTCCACACATTTTTTCTTCTTCCTTGCGAAGGTAACGCATACGTCTTTCAGTGGACACTACGCGTTGATTTTGCAATGTATGTATGGCATGACGAATGCTCTGGCACCGTCCTTTGGAATGTGCAAAAGTGGAATTTTCTGTTGCCTTTGTGTCTACAAGAGAAATCAGCGGACGTTCATGGGTTGCATATTCGGTACTATTTTGTTGCCAGTCTGAGCGGTGTTTCATCATTTCTAACTGTTTTGCACGTTTATGAGCAGCCTCAAGACGTTCTTGCCGCCCCCTCTTGAGGTTCATCTGCTGCAGGAGACGCAGCTGCTCATGATTTTCCTCCACTTTTCGAATATAACTTTTCCGTTGTCGCCGTCCTTTTTCCCGAAGCTGACGCAGAAAATGCGCCAGAAGGTCTACCTGCACGAGTGGCTGCTCACCAGGCCGATGCTGCAGGAAGATGTCGCCCACGTAAACCCGAAGAACCTCGCCACCTTGCGGTAATTCTAATTCGATCTGCCCCAAGCCCTCCGCCCCATCGGTGTCCTCCTGCATTTCCACACTCGACAGCAAACGCTGCAGTGCGTCCAGGCGCTGCATTCCATAGACGTCCTCTGGTGACACCATGTCGAACACCATGCGCAAGCCCTCCCATACACTAAGGCACGGGCACTGGCCTCTTTTTATGCTCATAAACCGAATGACCCACATGAGTTCTTCCACTTCCTTTGGCGATGCCAGCCGCACCCGGAGCGGCAGTCGAAGCGAGGACAACAATTGTTCATTCAGCGTGCTGTTGATTGGCTCATCATCCACCCAGTCTGTAGCTCTGTCCCCGTAAGGCTCGCTGGGGCTGGCGCAAGCAAGGACCGGCAGAAAAGCCGCAACAAGGAGTAGTGTCCTCAAGAGCATTGCAACTCCTACCAGCACCGTAAAGCACACATGCACACGCCCACGTGCCTTCATGTTGTGTTGAGAAACGCGCGAAAGACATGGAAACACAAAACAGAGCACATTTTTTTTTGATACTTTTTTTCACGTGATGAAAAGCAAAACAAAATAACAAAAAACAAAAAAAACAAAACAGACGCCATTAAATACCATAAGAGGGGAAAATACATTCGGGTTCTGTGTTTGCTTCAGTTTGAGAGGGAGATACGCAAGGGAAAGCCGTAGAGTGACGCCATTGTGAACGCCACAATACGTAACTTTGCGTGTATGCCCATTTACATCAGATGCCAGCTGCGGTAGAAGAAAAGGAGGAGTCAACTGAAAAACGATGATGCAAACGACATACAAGCACAAATATACACACGCACAAATTAAAAAAAATATATCTACCAATACACACTTCTCCATGCCACCACCTTCACATTTTCTAAATGGTCATCCCACCAGTGTATGTTTATCCCCTCTCCCCCCCCCCTCTCTCTCTCTCTCT